CAATATAAAGCACCTTGAGGCGGCTGTTGTTGTGATTTGGGGCTATATAAATAAAACTGAATTGACTTAAATTCAGATCAAACTGAGTTTATTGTACTCGGCCCTGAAAATCTTAGAAATATGGTATTTAAAAGGATACTAAAATATGTACGACTGCTTTCTTCCATTTGTGCAATATTTCTAAAATAAGAAATATCGTGTCTCAGAGTGTCGCTGAAAAACTAGGTCATGCATTCATTACCTCTAGGCTGGACTACTGTAATTTGTTATAATCAGGACATCCTAGACTAGAAAGAGAAAGCGTATATCTCCTATATTGGCTCCCTGTTAAATCCAAACTGAATTCAAAATCCTGCTCCTCACATACAAGGTCTTGAATAATCATCCCCCATCTTATCGTAATGACTTTAAAGTACTATATCACCCCATTAGAGCACGTCTGCAGGCTTACTTGTGATATACTTGTGATAAGACCCGAACTCTTCCATGGCAAGCATTTTAATTTCTCTTTGATATTTGGGCATATTGGGACCCGATGAATGTAAAAACAAAGAATCACCAGATTTTTTTTTTTTTTTACCCGATATTTGTTTCTAAGAAAAATTAGAGCCACATGTGAAGACATTTGTTTTAAATTTTGATAAAACAGAGGCAGTATAATGTTCTCATAAGTGGATATCAGGCCCCTGTAGAGCAAAATTTTGTATTTTGTCTAGACAACCCAAAATGTGATGTCCACATATATGGACGCCAGGCAGAGCCTTCAGTTTTCAGGCCCCTTTTCTGTGGAAACAGCTTCCAAATTTAATTTGGGAGACAGACACCATCTCTACCTTTAAGATTAGGCTTAAAAATTCAGAGAATTTTTTTTTTTTTAATGACATTTTTTACTGTAAAAGCCACAAACATGTTTAACGAATCATTTTCATAACTTGAAATGCAAATAGAAATTGTACATTTACTACACTACACACTAACTATAGCCTCCAAACACGCTAAACGTCACTAATGTCTCACATATGAAAACTCGCTCTCTCTCTCTTTCGCTCGCCCGCTTTCTCTCGCAGGTGTCACTCCTAAAACTTCCTCCTCTTCCTAAAAACCAAGTGCCACATGTTGCCATATCATTTTCTTGATTGGCTGACACGGTAAACTTTAACACCCATAGGGAAGGGGTGTTTTTTCTTTTTTTCACTCGCAAGCGCAGAGTGTTTGCTAGCGCTGTCCTTAGAAAATGCAGTTTTTACCATTTCTTCTCGCTGTAAACACCGCTGCGTGTATTTTTTATCATAACTCTGGTTTTACGTGGCCAAACGACACAATTTAAAAACTGGTATGTACTTTGCAGTCCGCACTTCCGAACCAAGTTGAATTGGAGACTCTGGGTCACTGCATCTTCTTGCTGTGTCATCTTAAATTGGTCATGTGACTTTGACGCACCGGCTGGATCAGGTGACCCTGAATCCTCCTTTAGTTATGCTGCAATAGGCTGTTGGGGATGCTGTGTTAAGTATTTCTTCTTCAGTCACCTTTCTCACTCACTATGTGTTAATAGACCTTTTTGCATTAAATCAGTGTGTGTGTGTTCCTGTCTACCTATCTTTGTGAGGACCGAAATCTCCATTCTACTATACTTGTGAGAACCAACAGTACCTTGTGAGGACACACACACCGGTCCTCACAAGTTTGAAGGCCTTCTTGAGGCTCAAAATGTAGTTTTAGTGTCAGGGTTACAATTAGGTTATGGTTAGGTTTAGGGTAAGGGTTAGGCATTCATTTTTAATGGTTAGGGTAAGTGGCCCTCACTAAGATAGCCGATAACAAAAGGAGAACAAGTAGATAAAGCAGAGAGACTCTGATGCTAAAGAAGGGAATACTCACTTTTCTTTTGGCCTTTATACTGCTGGGCCTTTTTCTTCTGCTTGGGAACAGACTGCGACATTTCTCTGTTACCTAAAAAAGAAACAAGAAAGGACATTCAAGCATACAATGACAGGAAAGCACATCCATACGACTGTCTTTCTCTTATTCAATTCAGTGTCGCGGGACGAGGAGGGGGGCCGGAGCCTTTTCCAGCTTTGGCAGGACACATAATTATCTTTTTGGCAGTTGTGAGGCAGAGGCACATGCGCAAACATTCTCCAAATGATATAGGTTATGGTTGGAGAGGAGTTCAAGAGCCCTAGGTAAGATAGTTCAGGATGTCATCCTACTGCAAGGTGACAGACTTGAGACAGTAATATGAGCATGTTGCTGTGGTGGCTATCTTCTAGTTCCAGGTGGTTTGCAGTGACTGAACATTCAAAACAAAAAGAGAATGTTTTAAAAGACCTACATATGAAAAGGAATGGTTAATTTGAAGATTTACATTAAGGCTGCGAAGGATATTTAGTTTTCATTATGTTGACTGCAGAGAAAATTGCCTTGCTTTTGTGTGTGGAGCCAGACATGGTCAAGATACACGGGGCTAATTTCCTTATATCTGAGAAATTTCTTTCAGTAGAAAAGTGAAAGGGGCCAGTTCTTACAAACTGCTTTTTTGGGTCCACATCATCTTAGAGATCAACAAATTGCATCTGGAGAGGCCCAGCATTTAGCCACTGCTCAATTTTCACAGCACCAGTTTGTTCCTTATCTTTTTTCCTTTCTTTGTTTTTTCAGCTTTCTCAGGCATAGTCTTCTGTATTTTTCCCTTTCTTTTTTCTATATTGCTTTCTTTCTACTGTCTTTTCTTGTGTATCTTACCAACTCTCAGTGGTCAGGACTGTAGAGTCAGTCAAACAAAACAAACAAACAGAAAAAAACAAAACGTGATGCTGAAGCTCGTCAATTGAAGAACTGCTGAAATAAATGCAGTACGAGAAAAAGACCTGAAATAAGCTCACTGTAAATCTATAAATTCTAAGCAGGCATTCCTGATTGGTGGCAGTTTATAAACACCCCTATGAGACAGACAAACACATATGCACATCCCTACCTCAAAATGTTTACAGGTCTAGATGTGCGCACAGGTGGTCTGTGGGATAACAAACGATTCTCTATTTCTCAGTTATATATATTGGCAAGAAAACACCTACTCTTCCTCTGGAAATGCAGCAATACCCCCTTGCACGTTCAATGGCTGCGTGATCCTTTCTTAAACTTGATAAGCTCAACCATTTTCTCTGAGGCAGATCCCAAACGTTTTTGGTCAAGTGACAGCATTTTGTGACCTTCATTATAACTGTCTCATGTAGTGATCCCATTCTCTGCCCTACTATCTTGTCTGATCCTTGATATTAATAATTCTCTAAACGTTTTGCACTAAGACACTATAGGAAGAAGTATGAACAGCATTATGGCATTACTCTGTGAGGCAGGTGGTTGGAGCTGGTAGCCTGTTAGCTGACACCAGCCCACTGGATAGAGGTCAGGCGACTCGCAGTCCACCCACTGATCATACTCGTCTTCCCAACCATCAAAGTGAATCCTCAGTAGGCGGTGCACAATCCTTGTCACCGTGGCAACACACACCAGCCTTGGTTCCATCAGATCAACAGCTTCCAGCTTCATGCCTAGCCGAAACCCATGATTGGGAACCTCCTAGGACATGAAAGGGATCAAGGACAGTGGAAAAAGAGAAATTTAACAAACAAAACCCGGATCTTAAAAGTACTGCAGCCTGTATTTATCCTTCAGTAAAAGCTTGTGAGAAACTTTACAAATCCTGTCAGTCATAACATGAATATGACCAATAATGACATGAGTTTTTACTGCTACTGTTTAAATGGATGGGGCACGGTGACATGGTGATTAGCACTGTTGCCTCACAGCAAGACGGTCCTGAGTCAATCCCTACCACCTGGCCGGGGCCTTTCTGTGTGGCGTTTGCATGTTCTACCCGTGTTTGTGTGGGTTCTCTCCAGGTACTCCAGCTTCCTCTCACCATCCAAAGACATGCAGTTAGTGGGGTGGGGTTAGGTTAATTGATGATTCTAAGGCTATGTCTACACTAGCCCAGATAAATATGAAAACAGTGTATACGTCTGAAAACGCTCCGCGTCCACACTATCGTTTTCATAGAGTTGTTCATCCACATTTAAATGGCTGAAAACGCTTACGTACCAGTACTGCACATGCGTGAAACCCAAGACGATTCGACCTGCCTCATTTCTGTCTGCCGTTTATTTACTTTCTGGCTCTTTGAAACGTCGCGGCAAAATGTTGAGGAAAAGACCAAGTTTTTTTAAATGGACTCTGACCTGGACCTTGAGGTCAAGGTCATTGATATTCAAACTTGTCCACAATTTTTAGTAGATGCACATATGGTATCAATTTTAAAATAATAAATGGCCACTCATTCTTGGATCCCCGTGGAACTCTGTGACCAACTTTTGAGCATGAATAAGAGAAATTTAAATCTAGTAGACATATCAAATTCAGACCACACTGACTGATACTAACGTTTTGTTCTAATCTCCTTAGTAAAATACTGTTGTCAGTGGTAATTGATCATTGATCATCAATTGATCATTGATCATTTGTTACCTTACCAGTGCCGTGTCTGTGCTATGGCGCACTCTAAATCTGGACTGAATCTTTGCAAATTATCTGTTCTTTTGCAATGATTATTTAACTGATTGACAGTTAACATCTCCAAATGTTTTGAAATAAAAGTAGCTAGTAAGAACTATTCAAGTAATAATTTAATTACAGCCATCTTAATGAGGACAGATTAATCATACTTGTGTAACACTTGTAACAACAATTTTTTGAGGACAAACAAAGATGGAGAGTGGAAAGTCATTTTCAGTCTCCATCATGTTAACAGTGAAGGAATCACTTCCTTAAACTTAGTTATCACACATGTTTTGATTGTAGTTATACATAGACAAAAGTACTGGGTCAGCTAGACTGACAAACCCATATCATAGTGCTGATGTTAATGCTAGAGAACGTTTGTAACTCTACAGCATATAACTGACAACCGACTACGTGGCTCAGGACTCAGCAACCCTGCACTGCAAATTCATGTGGTCTGTCACTTCATGGCTGAGTTGCTGTGGTTCCCAAATGCTTTTCCTCTGCAATAATACTGCTTACAGTTGATCATGGAATATCTAGGAGTTAAGCAATTTTAGATGTGTCCTTGATCCAACACAGCTGATTTAAATGGCTAAA